TTGTTACCTTTCACTTTTTTTTTTTTTTTTGAGTCAGGCTTTCCCCACCCACCCTGAAGCTAACTTATTAGCTACACTGGCTGTCTAGCAGGTCCCAGGAATCCTGTTTATGCATAGGAGTGCACTCTGCATTGGTGTTTTGATGTGGGTGCTGGAGATTCAAACTCAGGTCCAGTAAATAGGGCAAGCACTTCAACTGAATCATTCTGTACTCCTAAAAAAGCAATCCTTAAGGGAAAAAAATGAGTCAATTAGCAATTATGACTGGTTGCTTGAAGATAAATAGGAGTTTGGGAACCAAAGAACATGTGAATAATGGAATTGAGCAGTTATCAACTCTCCAGTCACTTTCATGTACATAGATACATAAATCTGTACCTATGTAAATATGTGAGTAGTATGTCCTAACTGATGATTTAAAAATTCCAACCACTGGTATTAGAGTGTCACAACAAATCAACACCAACAAATAATATTTTACATAATATATACATATTCATTTCATTGCAAGCAATTGACAGATAACAGAACCATAAACATGTTTTTTAAACTTTTATACTTAAGAATACACTTTTTGCCTCTCTCCGGCAACTCTAATATTCAATCATAGCCATGGTTTTGCTGTAATGAATTGAGTCCTAGGTGAGGAGAAACATTTCAACTGAGAGCAAGACTCTAAGTCAGAAATTCACCTAGCCACCTGGACATAAAAGCCGTTCTGTCAGTGTGCAAGCTTAGAGTTGGGGCAGGGGTTGAGTGTGAACTAAGAATTGGGGCATGGGGTGCAGATGAGACGGACTGGGATGAGGCACCCTCTTCTCCCAAGAATCCCAGCTGCCTGGCATGAAGACCCTAGAGGATGTTAAGGGACACATGTTTAGAGCCTGAGGCTGCCAGTGAGGTGAGAAGGAAGTGTATCTTGGGAATCAGGAGGCAAGTGTGAGAAGCAAAAGAGTCAGCAGAGAAGGAATGTGTGAAAAGATGGCTGAGTACATACAAGGGCCCAGGAAGACAAAGACCGTGAGCTGGGAAGCATAGGCACTGTAACTCTGGAAGATTGTTGAATTGATTTATGTTGTGTTGTTTCATTTTGGTTTTGTTTTGTTTTCCCCAGCTATTCTGAATAAAGAGGTGCTTAGATTGATCCAAGACTGAACTCTAGTGGCCTGGAAGCAGCAATACCGTCAAGAAGGACTGCAGTGACCTTCTCTTGTGGCATAATCTGTTAGACAATGAACCACCATGGTGGGTGGGTGGGGATCTGAGAGGAAAGACACAAGAGTCCATCCCAACCCCACCTTCCCCATTTAAGAAACAAAAATCAAGAATACAGTGGCCACCCACTTAAAAGACAGTGATGGTGGTCACAGTTACACACATTCAGGCTCACAGTGACTATGCCCAAGCATGGGACAAACTTCTGTTACAGGTCAGTGAAAACAGAAAAATATGTGATATCATGGCATACTTCCATCCTATACTATCACAGGGCTATTGGAAAGGTTTTAAATGTTCATCAGACATTGTGGGAATCTAAGTGAAAAGATACTCTTTTGAAAGAAGCTTTACTTTTTAATCAGACACACATTGATTAATTTTGTAACATAAAATTAATTGGTTCTGATAGCAACACCCTTTCCACATGTTCCTGCTTCGTGTTTGAGTGATCACACTGATGTATTTTCGGGTCTGTAAACAGCCACCTCCCCTTATCACATAAATGGGAGACTTCTCAGCTCACCAAGGCCCTTCTTGCTCCAGCTACTAAGTATGTGCAGCACCAGGGAAATCTCTACTATCTTTACTGGCATCAGATGAAACAAAAATAGGTATCACAAGAGCTTTTGGGTTTTTTATGTGCCTTTAAAAGCAGCAAAGCAGAATACAAAGGGGCTTTTAGTCACTACAACTATTTTTTTAAATGAATTTCATGCTGTGATTTATTGAGGGCTCAAAGGGAAAAAATGAAGGAAATATAGAGCAACTTGGTATCAAGCCCACAGGACTCTCTACAAAGTCTGAAAACTCACATTTTTAAATTATTGACCAAAACCCCAATATTTATTTGTTGCTAAGGTAAGTATAAATAGATAACCTTAAAGTCACCATTAGTTTAAACTGAAGTATACAAAAAGTCATGACTGGGGTTTTCATTCTTCAATCAAACTTGCAACAGTAACAAATATGCTTAAGAATTTGGGTGTCCTATTTAATTGTTTATATTTATTCGTGTGTGTGTGTGTGTGTGTGGGTGTGTGTGTGTGTGTGTGTGTGGGTGTGTGTGTGTGTGTTGCCTGTGTGCCTGTGTGCCTGTGTGTCTGTGTGTCTGTGTGTCTGTGTATATGTGTGTGCAAAGGTCTTCCTTGCATTTTGTTTTTAATGTGGGTATTAAAGATCTCAACTCTCAATGTCATGTTTGTGGGGCAAGTTCTTCACCTACTGAGCCATCTCTAGCCTCTCTTGTGGCTTTGTCAGCAAGATCTCACTCTAGCTCAAGCTTGCCTCACATCCGCAGCAATCCTTCTGCCTTGGCTTTCCTGAGTGTGGGAAATATGGATGTGAGGGATCGCACACACAGTGTGAGGTTCTGAGGTTTTACTCTTTAACATATTCTTTCCAGAATGTACTTTCTCTGAGTTACTCGAGAGAGAGGAGACAACCCCTAACACTATGATATAGTATATTCTAAACACATTTCAGTTGGAAACTGCACATGAGAGCACAGTTTCCCACACCAGGGGAATGGATGTCTCACCTCTTCCCACCGCATGCACAACCGATGGACCAAAGCCTCTGATCTGGAAACCCAGCCCGTCAGCAGAATCTGGGATTTTCACTGTCCTAAACACAACCAGAAAATAAGGTGAGACAACCATAAATACCACAATAGGCTCTATCAGCAGTCAACTATACCTGAGCTCCTTCTAGCAATGCATACATCCTGAGATCTTAGGCAAGGACTTAGCCTTGGGAGAGACTGACCAATAGCACCCACCACAAGAATGGAACATAAGAAAAAACAGGTGGTAGTGGCCACTCCAGCTGAGACAACTCAGGGCCCTCAACAGGATGTAAATATAATGGTGGGGGTAGACTCCAGAAGCCCCTGCTCAGGGCCCCCAAAACAGGATATAGAGAACAATGGGTGGTTACTCCTACTCCAGATATATCAGCTCAAACAACTGAAGAGACTTCCTTACCAGGGAGCATGAGCAGTGCTGTTAACCTTTCCCCTACTGGACTTTTCAACTTCCTGGGCATTAAACTCTTATGGATATTCTTGCATCTTATTCATCTACTTGTATAAGATAAAATTTTGTGTGATAGGGACTTCTGAGGAAGGCCCCCCTTCCTAGAAATATTAACTCTTGGGGATGAATAGGGTGGGGAATAACAGGTAAAAGAAAAATCTAAGCTCCCCCATATTGCACAGGCTCATCTTTGCTAGAATATATTGCTGCTTTCTGATCTGGTTCTAACTGAACCACTCACTGCTTCGTCTATTACTGTTTCCAGCTGAAATCTTCCTTTTCAGAGGTGTAACAAGGGAGATTGCTGCTAAGGTCAAGACCAAAGGAAACTGGAAAACTGGAGAGGGTCTACCAGAAAGATGCCACTGTGTGAGAAGCCCTTGGAGAACATACTGGCCCTTGGCCAACACAAGGTGCATATAGCAGGGAGGCCATGCAGTGTTCACACTGAACAAATTCTTATATAGAAGCATCCATGGAAAACCACAGGCAATGGAAACAGCTAAACTCGCTCTGAGTCCTTATTCTGTACTTTGTAGCTGGGTAAACTTGGGTTTGGACAAGCTCCTCAAATTCTGTTTTGAAAACTGTCTCAGAAACTATTGGAGATTATCATTGTCAAAACTGATTTTGTAGTGTACTGATGGGGATTAAAGAGATACCAATTTCTGTGCTACCTAGTTTCTGTTGCTGGAATTAAAATGAGACCAAAAGCAAATTAGAGGGGCATTTCTTTCATCTTACAGGACACTGTCAATCACCAAGGGAAGCCATGGCAAAGGCTGAGGCAGGAACTGAAGCAGAGACAATAGAGCAATCCCACTTACAGGCTTCCTTCTTGCTTCTGCTCACTAGCTTCCTTGTGCAAGCCAGACTCACCTGCCCAGGAATGGCACAACTTACAGGGGACTGGGACATCCTCCACCAATTAGCAATCAAATTCTATATTTCATCACCTCCCAATAACCCAGAATATTAGGTTATTCATAATTCCCAAGCCTCCCAAGCCTTTCTGAAAAAGGCCTGCCCATTCCACTAAAAGCTATGTGAAGTTGACTTCCTTCCACTCTTCAAGATTATTGTACTTTTTTAAACAAAATGTGTACACAGCACCATGAAATCCATGGTGGGGGGGAGAGAATTCCTCTAACTAAACATTATTAAACTAAAAAAAAAAAAAAAGAAATGATCTTTGGAGATCATGTTTTTCCAGTGGGAAAACCACATTGCCTATTAAAATAATTAAGAAAATTATACAAAAAGAATATTCTATTTCTGTTAGAAAATAAATATGTGAAATTAGCTACTGCAAAGCTTTTTGGAGAAATTCCTTGATGTTATCAAGTGCAAAACACAGCTGGAATAAAAAGAAAATTCTGTTGTATTTACTTCTCATAGTTTTGTCTTTTCCCCTCCAAACAGGATACTACTTAAATTACAAAACGCTAATTTAAGAAAAAATGATTAATCTACCAAAGTTCCCATACAGTTCCTCCTGAAGCCTCATATTCTCTGGGCCTGATCCAAAGACGGCCCTCCCAGGTGGCCTTGGACTCCTGAGTTAGGGGAAAGTCACTACTATTTAAGACAAACTGGATTGGAGAGCATGGAGAAGTCCCCACCTCTATGCCACCTCTCATTTCTCTTTATATAAGTGGGAACTAGTCACTTGCTCTGGTGAACATTGCAGGTGATCTGTCTGTACCATGGTACAAGCAGCTGGAACTACTTTACTTGATAAACTTTCTGAGAAGGTACCTGTCCCATAAGAGCAGAAAATTCACTCAGAAGAAAACCCTGTACTGTCACTGTTATACTTGAGTCAACTTATGTAGGAAAATGTCAAGGGAAAAAGAAACTGTAGACAGTTGTGAGTGCCTTTGCTATGGTTGAATGGGAAGAGTCCTCAACTGGACTGATGATGAGCTTTAAGGAAATGAGTGGATCCTGAGAGATCTGACCTAATTGATGGTGTGATACCCTGATGGACTAATACTCTTCTGTATTCCTGGGAGGTGATAGAAAGTAGAAGATGAAGCCTATGGGGAGGTTCAGACCCACGGAGGTGTGCTGTCGGGTGCTGCATCTTCTCCTGATTGTTTGCTGCCTTTCCATTTCTCTGTTTCCATTGTCAATCATGAAGGGAAATTTCTGTGCACCAACCCCACCATCATGTTCTGACCTAGCACATGGAGCCAAGCAAATGTGAACTGAATCCTTTGAAGCCATGAGCTGGAACAAACCTTTCCTACATTGAGATGCTTATGTCAGCTATCCATCACAGAGTGACAAGGAAAATGATGAGTTCAGCCTCATTAGGTTGGGACATGTCAGTGAACACATAATAAATACATCATTATGGGTACTTTGATTTGGTTTTTTGAAGTTTTTAATGAAAAAAAAAAAAAAAAAAAAAAAAAAAAAAAAAACCTTCCAATTCTTTACATCCCACTGTAGTTTAGATCCTAATTTTCAAATGGAAATGTTAAAAATGGAAATACCTTTGTGGTATCAACTAAAATGAGATGACTGTAACTGCTATTGCTTGTCAAGGCAAGCTACGGCATCTCTGAGCACACCTTTCTCCTCACAGTGCAGATGAGTTTCTACCAGCATTTAACAAGTAGACTGGGAATGCAGGACACAGGCCTCAGTGAGCAAAGCATGTCCTCAAGCAGAGAGTCACGAGAGTCTTACTTTACAAGACATTCTCCTCAATGGAAACCAGTGTACCTATCTAAAGGGCATATACATGGCAAGATTTCCCACATCAAATGCCACTCTAGCTTATTTATATTTTATCAAATATATTAATGTACTATACTCCATACGTTCTTCCTATTCTTACTGCACATAAACTCACGTGGTTGTTCATGCCGTATTTTCTACAAAATAGAAGAGATCACTTTTTTTAAATATATGTGAATGGTCTATAGGGCTCAATATAGTAATAATATTAGGGGAAAGTTATACATTTCAAATACATTTGAAAAAACATGACTATGCAATCTTTTTAAAATTTATTCATTTATTTATTCTCTGTATATGTATGTGTGCATGTATGCATGTATGCATGTGCATGTGTGCGTGTGTGCGCGTGTGTGTGTGTGTGTGTGTGTGTGTGTGTGTGTGTGTGTGTGTGTGTGTAGCTCAAAGGACAACTTTCAGGAGTCAGTTCTCTCCTTCTACAACATGGGTTCTGAGGATTGAGCTTAGGCCATCAGGTTTGGTGGCAAGTGTCTTTACATTCTAAACTATCTGGCCAGCACAATTATGCCATCTTTTAAAGTTATTCTTCAATACAATACAGAATATCTCTTGATGCAATAAAGAAGCAAATAAATAAAATGATAAATTAGTAAGAGCATCATGTAACAACATGACCGAATACTTGCTACTATGTGATATATTTGCTTCTGCAGTGAGCACCAAACACTTCACTAAGCCTGAACAAACCAGGACATACTCAGTATCCTGACAGCTCTGTGGCAGACAAATCTTGTGCCATCTAATCAATGAAGACATGGAAATGACAAGTAACAAGACTGGTGCAAGAAAGGCTGGAACCTGGGGTTCTAGATATTGCACAGCAGCTCTTGGGGAAGGGTTGGAAGACACAGGCACAAAACTCTGACAGCTGAGGATTTGCTCCCATCTGTTTATTCCTGATGTCACTGGCTCTGCGTTCTTCAAATTACTGAAATGTCTATGTAAACAGGTAAGTTATTGTAGGAGTAAACCAAGTACCTAGGGGACATAGACTTGTATTCACTAATAATTGTTCCTAAGAGGTTTTATTCATTTTAAATGCCCGAAATGTGTCAGGAAATAGGCAACTAAGACAGCCTTAGCCTAGGAAGGGCCAAATAGAGAAAAGAAACTGTAATTATATGTAGAAAGAAGACACTGCTGTGGTTCTTTGTTGTCCTCTATCCCAGAGTTTCCCAGAGAAACTGTATTAACAAGTCACAATTATTCTTTCAGGCCACAGAATACATGACATTATAAGTTAAATTATCCATGTCCATTAATGACTTAGCATTGTCCCAAAGAGATGGACTGGGGAGAATTCAGCCCATTACACTGAACTTAACACTCAAGAAAAATGTACGCATGATACATCTAGCTACTCCTGAATATGTGTTACTATGTAATATTTCACATTTAAAAATACTTTAAAGTCAGCTGGGCGTTGGTGGTGCACTCGAAGCAGGTGGGTCTCTGTGGGTTCAAGGCCAGCCTGGTCTCCAGAGCGAGTGCCACGACAGGCTCCAAAGCTACACAGAGAAACCCTGTCTCAATAAACCAAAAAAAAAAAAAAAAAAAAAAAAAAAAAAAAAACTTTAAAGTCAATAAAGATACTTTTTCCTAAATTGTTAAAACAAACTATCTCAGTTTTTTTTTTTTTTTATGGCATCCTTCATTCTCTTAAAGTTAATGAAGTTGCTGGTTACTACTGATAAAATTTTTGAATAGTAATTCTGACAGCTCATTCACCCTTCTGTTAAATAGTCTGCATACAGGTTATATCAAGCAGCTGATGCAACAGCCCAAGACTAATCTGAGATCATTAGTAGGAACAAATTCTAGAAGAAAGCCAATGAACTGCCCTTACATCAAATGTTTTAACTAAAGAAGCTTCATGTACAGCATGGCTCTGTTCTACATGTGTTTGGCTGTGGCATGTATCAATACTTGGAAAACACAGCACTCAAAACAGTAATGGATTTTATTTCAAAACAGTAGTGGATGTTTATGTGTGGTAAGAGTTGAAGAAAAATGTTTCCCTCTATAGACATTTACACTTTGAACTTTTTCACAATAAATAGTGTTGTAAAAATATGAGGCTGTTTGCAAAAGGTTCATGTGCTGAGGGGTCCCAAGATGACAGAATTATCTAGAGACAACTGGAACATGAGGGCACTGGTTTCATCCGTTGGCTGACCCATGGATGAGTTCACAGGAATTGTGCCCAGTGGGAGGAAGTGGGTCACTCAAAGTGTGTCTTTGAAGGGTATTCTAGTCTAGGGGGCATTCTTTGCCTCCTCTCTCTGCTTTCTGGGCATCACTGAGTGGGTACTTTTACACCATTCCCTCCTGTCTGGATGGACTGAAACTTCTACAATTGTGGGAGTCAACAGAATCATTTACTCCTTTAAGTTATCTCAGCTATCCTGTCATAATAATGAAAGATGAGCACAAAATTGATATTTTTATACTTACGTAGACAGATGACAGAGAGATAGACAGGTCTGGCTTGGTTTTGTTTTAAAGGAAAGGGTGTCTTAGTAAGTATACACATGCATGGTGTACCTTCTGGATTTGACTTTATGCATATAAACAGTATATTATAGACTGTGTCTAATCACCAACATTTCCTAGAGTCAAACATGTAGCTCTTTCTTCCTGGCTTTTAGGTGTTCTACTAGATTATTTTTTACTCTGTCAGACTCAACATAACCCAAAACAGCAATGTTTGTACAGTAGATGAAAAATATCAGGCTACTGACTCCATGCAATTCAGGAGTGAGCACCTATTACCAAAAAACAATGCAGCTTCCTATGTCTTCTTAAGACCTGCATTCATTGTGCTGGGGAGGCCTAAATGGTCATCAGAGGAGCCTGATGATCAATGACTACCTGGTAGTTAGCTTCCCTATTTTACTCATCCATGCATCACTGTGTCACTTACTCCCTTGGCTTTGTGCTCACGAGGACTCGCAGAGGCTTTTTGCTGTTTAAGCATGACTTCAGGAAGCAATCGACTTCAGGGAAAGGTCTCAGAAAAACCAGGTCACCATTAATAGCAAAAATCTTCTTCCCAACTTCCATGCCAGCCATCTAAGGGAGAAGTAGCAAGAAGAAGTGGGATGATAATTTAATAAATATTTTTGGCTTTCACAAACTGAACCAGGGGAAGTCTCAGCATGTACAGACTTGGATATGAGAACAGACATACAATAGCATTATGCAAACTTACATAACAGAACTATGAATGAATTAACAGCTACAATAATCCATGGCATCATTATGAATGGGATTGGACAATTTTGCTGAAATCAACCTCTCCCCACTCCCATGCACACTATACCTATCTCTGGCTCTTTATGGTGTTGTAGTAACAGACCCTTTAATTAAACAACAACAATAAAAAACTTGTCCTTATAACATATAATAAATATACATATTGTATACAAATACTTTTATTGAACTCAGAAATTTTCAACCCCTGAATATACGAATATATTAGCCACAGACAATATGTATCTCCAGCCTACATCAGCATGAGTGTGACTAGGACAGAGGAATGGAAGGGGTGGTCTGGAATCCAAGCAAGTACCAAGGGCAGAGTTGATCCTAATGCAACACGCTGAAAAATGACAAGGACAACATTACCCCTACAGTTAGCCCAGATGTTCTAACCAACAAGACTGCACATAAATTCCCTGCTGTTTTGGACTGCAGCTACTTGATGAGACAATATTTTATCTATGGCACAGCAAGATGAAGCTGTGGCTTCAGAGCAGCCTCTAAAAAATGCCTGAGAGAAGCACCTTCTCCTATAGAACTATAAACAGGGTCATTTGGTGGTCAGATACACTAACAGAGTAATGGACCAGAGGTAATCTATTTGCGCTTGGAGTGCTGGATAGAAAGCTTTATCTTGCACACTTTTGTTTGATGGTGAAATAAAAGACCTTTGGTGCTACTAAACTAAAGTGCTACTGACTTTAGTAAACAGAATATAAACTATATTATGTTCTATGTCTACAGTTCTTACACTTGTATTAAAGACCAGAATCATGAGGTATTTGTTATGAGTTATGTATCTTGCAAGCTAGACAGCAAGGTGAACAGTCTTAAATCTAGTATTACTGTGTTTCAGCCACTGGAAAGTAAACTCCATGAGAACAGAGATGGAAGGAGGGAGGGAAGGGGGAAAGGAAAGAAAAAGGAAGGGAAGGAGGGAGGCAGGAAGGGAGGGAGGGAGGGAGGAAAAGAGGGAGGGAGTTCATGTGTGTGTACGTATGTATGTATGCATGTGGCAGCCAGAGGGCAACCCTGGTTACTTCTCAAGTGATATCCACCTTGTCGCCTTGTTTCTTGAGATATGGTCTCTCATGGGCCTGGTATTCACCAAGCAGCCTAGGACAGCTTGCCTGTGACCTCAGGAATTCACCTGCCTCTACATCCCAAGCATAGGATTACAAGTACACACAGCACACTTTTTTTTTTTTTTAAATATGGATTTTGGTTCTCAGGCTCAGGTCCTGGTGCTTGTACAGAAAGACTGTTAAAGACTAAACTATCATCCCAGCTCAGAACAGAGACATGTGTCTGCTTTCTACATGTCTACACTCTCAGAATCTAGATGCTACCTAATATATAACCACTATCAAGTGAGTATTTCTCAGTGAAGTAGTCAATGATCACAAGATTCCACTGTTTACAAACTCAGGGGTGTGAGAGAGTGCTGATTAGCATTAATCAAATGATAAAGCCCAAGTGTTTGCTTTACTGATGATAATTATATCCACAGAAAAGACAGTGGAGGAGGAAGATAGAAGACACAGCCTTAGGTTAAACAGAATGACTATCTGACATACACAGCACAATTGACACACCCTATGGAGTTCCCACAGAGCTCCAGGATGGATTCCATTATCGGGAAGACCCTGGAATCCCAGAACATGCCAGTTGGGGACTGGGCAATGGGGAGCTGTAGATCTCTGGACTACCACCACCTCCCCAAACCCTCATCACCGAAACACAGTCTCAGTGGCTACAAATTCAACACTACTTGACACAAGTGGAGCATGTGATCATCAGCAGATGATCATTCAGAGTCAAAGCCCTCAATAAACACGTGAAGAATTATTTCAGTTTGGCGCCACACTTCATGATAACAAAATGTTAACAAAAATGCTAATTTAAATTACCTCTGCATTAGACCCCTTTTCCACTAACTTTATTATTGGAACTTTATTTCTGTCCTCCAGCCCAAAGCCATAGCTGCCTTCATTGGATTTGATCTGAAATGTAAAATACTAACATTATTGAAAACGAACAAGGAGAGAATAACAATGAAATAGATGGAGAGCATCAGTATACCCGCCTGCCAATTGCTATACCAGAAGGAAATAAGACCCAGCGGCTTACCAACAGTGATTTAGCGATGACATTCTCCACAACCTTCAAGTCATGTTTCATAAGCCTGTGTTTCATGTTCGAGCCTTCCATTTCCTCATCGGCAAAAAAGCGGAAAAGTAGAGGCTCATCTTTGAATTCACTTTTTTCAAGGACTGTAGAAATGGAGAGATTGAAAGAATTTCAGTAAACTGGGGTCTCAGGCTCACTTTCCACACCAGCACACCCTGGGGAATTCCTAGCAACAATGAGCTCAGCTTTAGACTCCTAGGACAAGGTGACCTCACAGATACCCCTCAGGTTCCTTTAATAACCTACCCTACCTTCGCTGTAATTAGTTACCTACAAGATTTAGCATTTTAAAATAATTTACTATCTTTCAAATATCAAATGTCTTAACTTTCCAAGTAGAAAATATAAATTTAAAGAGAGAAAATACAATAACGCCTAAACCCAGGCAATCTAAACCTAAAAACTTAGGGCATTTTCCTCTTACAGAAAATATAAATATGTTTTAATGTCATGCATCTTCTCAGGAAACTTCAAACGGGTTGCATACAGTCTTTCTATGTGTGAGCAACTCCCAGTGAGGGGTCACAGTTGGTCCAACACTTCAAACTAGAAATATGTCTTCTTGGTAAAATGTGATTTTAGTTTCTCTGACTTGCTAGCCCTTCTGTTTCAAAACAATCTCAAACAATCTTGTTTCTGCAAAGGTCATTTTTTTTCTCTTTTATATAAATGTTAATATTTTCCCTTAGTCCTAGGAATGTTGATCTGTTTTTTAGCCTTCTTTATACTGTAAGCAGACACAGATAATAAGAATACATATTTAATAAGATTTTGACAGCTGCCAAAATGCCTTAAAAAAGCAATCTGTGTTTCTCATTCTTTGTCATTAGTACCTTGTAATGTACTTGTTGGGACAAGGTGACTCACAGTAACAGGAAAGCTGTGGTCCCAGGGCACTCAGCTGTGTGATGAATCAGTCCAGATCTGGGGCCAATTCTTAGTGTGAAAATTAGAAGGTTACCTAAACTCTCTGCATTTTAGTTTTCTCATCTGCAAAATGAGGGTGAAAGAACTCTTCATGCTGCCTTCTTTAAAATGAAGCACTACACGTAAACAGCTTGGCATATGTCAAACAATCCAAAGAGGCAACTATTCTATTCCTATTTCTACAGAGTTCTAGAAAATAATACGGAGCAGATGGGTGAACTTTGAATGGAAGAGCATCTAGTAACATGGTGACAAATGAAGCTATCCTCCACACCATAAAAACTAAGACGAGCCACAGTGAACAACAGAAAGGAAAAACACTTTGGACTGAGTTAACGTTTGCCTCCATGATTTCATCATTTTCCCAAAGATCACATGATACTTTCTACAACAGCCCCAGGAAATACAGGCAGGAGACTTTTGTCACCTTAGCTTTTTTATTACTTAGTATTTTACAGTAAATGCTCACATCAAATTACTACCTACTTCTACTCTTGGTTAAGAAGAAAAATAATCCGGGGATGCTTAGAACATTATAATAATATAATGGGACAGAATTCTCCAAGAAGCACATAAGGAAGAAGGATGGTCCCAAAATGGCTGTACCTGGTGCTCAATGCCCTTTTTCATACATGTGTTAATAACTTTCTGAACATAGTTGATAAATGGATGTGAATGCAATATCAAACATATATTAAGACGCACATTGCATTAGTAATTGAAAAAAAGACTGTTCGGGTGCCCAGACTTTGTAGAATGGCATAAATAGAGGGAGAAACTCCTTACGTGGACAGATGGAGAAATTAAAATATAACACTAATGTTTAATGATTTGCTTGAAGTTGTCAAGCAAGAAGTAAACATTAGTAGACTAAATACTGTTTATTTCTAGAGATGAAGTTCTGGAATATGATTTCGGGTATATCTTTTGGGAAAATATTCCATTATATACTGTCATTCAGGCAATATTATGAGTCTAATATAAAATGAATTCAAAGCTCTGTGTGTGTGCGTGCGTGTGTGATATTTTAAAAAGAAAATAAAACTTTGACATCCCAGCATGGCTCTTCTGGAGTCACAATCAAGAAAAAAAAAAAGAGAAACTTGAAAATCTGGTAGCCCTTTGCCACAGAAATGACACCATTAGTGAAATCTGTTGCAGATGTGGTGACTCATCAGGGAGCATGACAAGACCCAGACAGGTTGCCTTGACCTTAGTGGAGCACTGAGATATTCCCAATGTCCCAAGAAGACCCAAAACAATGAAATCCATCTGTGAGTTTACAAGGTAAGAGTCCCTACCGTGGTGCATAAATCCATTGTCACAGAGCCCAACAGCAAATATCATTGCCTCTTCCCTGGTACGGCAATCACCCTGTTGACCAAAAAAAGTAAAAAAATAAAAAAAAAAAAAATAAGTCACTGTGCATGTTAACAGGAAACTGGAGGCTCTAAGGACCTGACTTATAATTTAAGGAACATTTCCCACACATTACATAATTTTCCCTAGTCATTTTCATAGCACTTAAGTACTCTACCAAATCAGTTCTCATTTCTACTTCAGGCCTATCATCAACACTCTAATTTGTTGTTTCTTTATCCCTTATCTAAATTAACGTATTTTTTCTGGAGTCATTTTACCATAAGCTGTCATGGTAAATTCAGCTGTCATGTTCTAGAGGTTTAAAGGTTTTTAATAATCAAAACAAAAACATTCTGTTGGACTTTCAAAATCTTCCAGTCTTGGTTTTCTTCATCTACAACTTCACTTTCCAAAGTTTTGAACTTATCCTTTTTATTTAGTTAGTACAGTTTCCTACAATTGCTGAACGAAGGTCAGTGGCATTCTCCCCTTGACTAGTGTAATGCCAGTATACACAATGTCTTTCACCTGTGCATGAAACGCCAAGATTAATTTTTTTCTCTGACTATGACAACTGTAACACTCTTATCCACTGAAGCAAACTGTGTAAGTACCTGCAAATAGGCATTGTATCTTCAAGAACCCAGGTGTTTGATAAGTTTTGTGCATTCATTTGAAAATTCATATTTATTCATTTCTAAATATCACACCAAATTCAAGATATCACACATTAAAACTGTCAAATGAAAAACACTTTCCTGCCTTTCACTAATTTGGATCTTGTGAAGGATTTGGTCATTTAAAAAATGGTACCTAGGAGCTGGAGAGATGGCTCAGTGGTTAAGAGCAGTGGCTGTTCTTCAAGAGGACCCAGGTTCTATTCCCAGCACCCACAAGGCAGCTCACACCTGTCTGTAACTCCAGTTCCAGGGGATCTGGTATCCTTACACCAATGCACATAAAATAAAGTTAAATAAAGTATTTTTTTTTAAATGGTACTAGAGCCAGGCACACCTTAATCCCAGCACTCTGGGAAGCAAAGGCAGGCAGATCTCTGTGAGTTCGAGGCCAGCCTGGTCTACCAAGTGAGTTCCAGGACAGGCTCCAAAACAATACAAAGAAACCCTGTCTCAGAAAAAAAAATGGTACCTACTTAAGTATCATCATAAAATTTAGTAAGATTCTTCTTTTTTTAAAAGATTTATTTATTTATTTATTTATTTATTTATTTATTGTAAGTAGAGTGTCCTGCCTGCATGTATCCCTGCAGGCCAGAAGGGGGCACTAGATCTCACTACAGATGGTTGTGAGCCAACATGTGGTTTCTGGAAATTGAACTCAAGACATCTGAAAGAGCAGCCAGTGCTCTTAACTGCTGAGCTATCTCTCCAGCCCCGTAGTTAAGATTCTTATTTAGCCTGATTCTCTCAGTGAACTCAGTGCAGAGAAAAGACCCTGAGCCTAGATGGAGGATCCAAAAGGACTTCTGTGGAAGATGATGCTGAGAATTTTACAGAAGACCTAAAAATAACCCAACTGACCAACAATTTCTCAAAGGCAAGAGCCATCTTACATTTGTCCTTATGTTTTATTTCAGTAGCTAGTTAAAGTGTTACGTTTATGCTGAAAGCTTTGGCTGTTTTGATTATTTAAATGTTATATTTTCTAGACTAATACATCATTAAAAAGAAGAGTGTATTTATGCAATGTGAAAATACTGTAGTGATCCTATCCCTTTAAAAAAAATCCTTTGGGGTCTACTCAGATCTGGAAAGCACTGAAGAAAGGTGCAAAAAAAATTGTTTGGGTGAGAAGAAACAAGGAATTGTTTAATTAAAAAATAAAATTGGTGTCAGAACATCACATGTAAACAAATCACATAATGTTTTAGAAATATATTAATGCACTTATTCACTAGGAAGTTAACTTCCAGGAATGAGGTATCTGATTATAAGCCATTATAATGAAAGCATCAATCTGATGAGTATTCAGAAGAGAACAAAAGTCATTGCATTTTCTAACACTATATCAATCATTGCAGACATCTACAGCATCCAAGGATACCTCAAAACAATGAAAGGACTGTTGCATTGCAGCTAGCTCTAATTGATACAATAAGCTGTCCAAATCCAGTCAGCACTGATGGATGTGCAGAATAAGTCTATTGGAGTCTTGGTGGAAACGAGGCCTTATTTTGTCTCTTCTTCCCCCTACAGTAAGCACATTAGTTTGTTCCCCTCTCATCCCATTGCTATGTCTTCCTCTTCCAAGGCAGCCCATGATGCTCTACTGTGAAGTTCAGCAATAAGAACAGAGAATGTCTGCCTTAAACGTATGCATTTCACAATATCAGAATTACGAAGCTGCAGTGACCAATGTAAGGTGACATGATACTATTCGAGGACAAGATAAGCAGATGAGAACACTACAGTCTACAAATGGAGTGACATGTCCAAGTTTGCCTCACTCAGTTTTAGCAGAGCTGGCATCAGATACTGATTGCTTGAGACAACCTCCTGGGGAGTTCAACAGATACCACAGTGACAAAAATACTTCATTTCAGCTTGCTTGGGACTTTCTGGAATGTATCCTATTTTTCCTCAATGTTTACCCTTAAAAAATATAAATATTTCCCCCTGTAAATCTGGCAACTGACTTTCTGGGTTAGAATGTAAATGTTGATTTGGCATCAGGTTTTGCTTTAGATGCATTTTCCTTGGTCTTCTTCCTTATACTGGGTATTGTATGAGTTCATATCAATTCTAGACCAGCAGAGTTCTAGGTGAATTCTCTTACTGAACAGAGAACCCACCCAGCTGCACACATGACCAGTGACATAAAAGTGTTAGACAGAAGGTATCCCACTGGAGAGCTACTAAACATGAGGTTCAGGTTATTACCAAAGCTATTATCTGATTCATCTAAGAAATACAAATCTGGTGGCCTTCAAAAGTTTGGAAATCAACACTAAAACAATAAAATTCTCAAAGTGCACCTATATGCAAAACAGGGTTTAAATGTTTTAAAAAAAAGTAAACATTTTAAGATTAAATATCTAGTTTTGTTACCTATTTATAAAAGAAAAGGATATTTTTATACAAACAAAAGAATATGGCTGCCTATAAAACTGACTCAAATATTTATGTGTAGTGACTGCATTTCAACCAACCAAACCCCCTGTCCCAGGCAGCAAGTTCAGTTCAAGTGTATATCAACTTTTCTTAGTGTCTTGCCTCTCTGGTCAGTAGAATATATCCAAGCATTTGTTAGTTGACCTATCATGAAAAAAATCTAAGTAAGTTTATATTTGAAAAGTTACTGTGACATCTGTGTTAATCTCTTCTACTTATAATCAAATCACAAAATTTATCTCAACACTAACTGTCAGAGACAAGATCCTGCAAGGCTGAGCAATAATAACGACAGTATGCTCTGCACTTTGAAGACATTACAGCTTCTATCATCCAAGCCCAGCTGGTATCTAACAGAGAAAATGATATGGGAGATTAGAATCACTTGAGAGGACTAATGAACAGATACTTTAAAACAAATTAGTACAAAACAAAAAGCATGTAAAACAACTTAATGTCTGAACATAGCTATTCTTCATTCATACTCAAATTATGCTTGCTGGGTTTGGTTCATTTGTTTTTTGGTGAATCTATTTTTAAAATAGGAGCATCTACTTTTTTGAAAAGCAAGGTAGCATAAAGGTTATTCAAGAACCCAGAAACCAGATTCAAATCCTAACTCAGCTTCATTCCAGCTGAAGGAATGTAGTCCAGACAGATCACAGTGTGTCACCTAAAGGAAAGTATTAAATTCTTTGGAAGTTCCCAATTCACACACTCAAACTGAAAGGGAAAAGAATGAAGCACAGCAACACCTATTTGCCTCCTTACCTGTGCAATTAACCAGTCTATCAATTTGTTGGCCATGACCACAGATTTGTAGTTTCTCAAATGGTAATCTTTATCTCTACAAAGGAAGAAGGCAGCAAGAACATTAATCAAGAGACTATGTGAACACAGGCAAATCCTTCCATTCAGTATCCGTAGACAGCAGGAAAACCTATCAATTATCTTGCAATCACCTAATATATGTATAAATAAGATATGAAAATCTAACAGCTCATAGAAGAGAAGACAGACCCATCAAAATACCAAAATAAGGCATTTCTTCTTCTACTTTTTTTTCAAACAAGACTGTTAGTGCTATCACACCTGGTGGTGATTTAACTAGAAAACTGGCATCTTATTAATAGAAGATTAAGAAAATAGAATTTCTACCCCTAAGTCATGGCTACTAAAAATCTCCTCAAAGTATAGAGAATAGAGCACCAGCTTCTCCAGTGTCTACATTCTCCAAGAAGGCAGGGAGATATGCACTATGTTTCTCACAGGCTTCCTATAAAGCCTGCAAGCCTGAAACTGATACAGCTAGAATCCACTACTTAGTCTGTCTAAGCAAAGCATGGAACTATGAAAGCACCTCATCCATCCCCAGGGAATAAAGGAACTGACTGGCCCTCACATCAGACTCCTTGCTCAGTAGACTTTCCAGACTGAGAAATCATTCAAAGTTGAAAAGCAAGGGCATAAAGGTTATTCAAGAACCCAGGAACCAGATTCAAATCCTAGCTTTGCTTCATACTAGTTGTATGTAGGCCAGGGAGATCACGGTATGTCACCTGAAGGCAAGTACTAAATTCTATGAAAAATCGAAGGTGTTTCATGATTGGTCTTGTGCACAAGGGCAGAAATCTATAATTCATTTCATTTTCTAGGCCCAGATGAAAAGAGAATAGAAAATTGGAGTCTTTGCAAAATGAAAGCTGCCAAAAGCTTGAGATGAAGCGCAGCCTTTATTTACTGTCCTTTATCCTTGGTCAGTAGTACACGACGATATCCACATCATTGCGTTCTCTTGCATAAGAAGCTATCTGAAATGTGATTGAAATTTCTGGAACTTCCATATGTAAACTAGGTTCCTCAGAAATCAAATTTACTTTTCACCTTTCACCTTGATTTCCATAAACACCAATAGGAAAGAATGGGCTATTCCATCATGGACCAGATGTAGTTGTCCGGTTCTTAACAGCAAGTGATTTTTCTGTATAAACCAAATCTATATGTATGGATGAATGACTATCAGATAGTATATCTGTTTTATATTTTAATCCCATACAGTTTCTCATACAGCAAATAAATAATGGTCATTTCTAGTCAAAGAAAAATTCTTTCTTATCAATTCCTAACAACTGTAACTTTCCTGATGTAAAACCTCACAGAAAAAAAAATGTGTTTTTTCTGGACACATTTTTATGCACATAATATTTATATATATGCAGATGATGTGGAGGATTAGCTATTATTCTTTTCTATTTGTTTAGCAGAAAAATATATATAGTTGCTAAGTATTTAACATTAATTTGTCCAAAACATTTGGAAGGAATCTATAGCAGCAGTATGTTATATAGTCCACACTCATTTTCCCAACTTTACATTGTGAGGTCTGCAGCTAAAGGAGACAATGTTTATTCAGGTAAGAAGACACCCAGTTCTCCTCAAGGACCTGCTCACAATATTTATATAGTATAACAGGGCATTCCATTATGCAGACATGGCAACTTCTGGAAACAATCTCTATCTATAATCCATCTATCTGTCATCTATCATCCATCTAAATGTCATCTATCATCTATCTATCATCTATTTACAATCCATCTATCATCTGTCATCCACCTATCTAGCTTTCTATCATCTATCCATGTTCCACCTTATAATTGATGTTAAGTATGTAAAATGAAATCACTATATGCAAATATTTGGATTCTATAGCCATTACTGGAAAATATATGTATTTGTTTAAAACTGGAGCATGTATTTGTTTTGAAAATGAGTTAGTTAATAAACTCCAAAATTATGCTTAGTACATCTAAAATAATTCTTAATTTTCAAGCAAAAATTTTGTCTTGGAGGGAAAAGCCTATCAAAAGGAAATATGAAATATACATACAATGTCCAATCATTCAGATATGCATAATATATATACATATATAATGTATATATACATAATATATACATATTATACATAATACATATGTATATTATACATAATTATTATACATAATTATTATACATAATGCATACATATATTATGTGTATATATTATATATATAATATATGTGTATATATTATGTATAAAATAAGTCTTCCTAGCTGTGAACATTTAGAATATATATCATTTCTGAATGATTTCTAGGACATTTAACTACAATTTATTAAATATTAATGGAATATGTATCATTTCATTTTCAGCTGAAGAATAATAGTAAACTAAGTTTTGAAAGCATAAAAAAGAGAAAAGACACTACATATATAGTGCCAGAAAAATTTAGGAATATTTGAGATAAATAATTACTTAATCAAATAATCCAAGTTCTAAGATGAAGCATAACTGTTCCATTTATGACCCCTATAAGGGGCAGACTCACCTGACCACTGGGGTAAACAGACTATGAAGACGACAATACAGTCTTACACCCTGTGTGAGACAAACAAAGGTCAGAAGCAGGTAGGATTATTCAAGAGACATGCTGGGAACTTCCAGAATAACAAATCAAATCTTTTTCAGTCTCCTGGTGTCATTACACAATCTCAGAAAAATTAAAAGTCTCTCCAAATATTGAAATGCATGATAAGAATAGGAGTTAAGTCTCTGAAGAACAGGATGGAATTATACTGTGAATTTTTCATATATGTATGACATATATGAAGGTTTACCTAAAATATTTCTTCATATAAATGATAAGATGCATTTTAAACATAAAGTTAATAGCAATAAATCTAAAATGTGTGGCCATTTTATTTCAATATAAAAATTTGCTAAAGTTATTATGAAAACTGGTATTAAGCTAGTCGTTACGTTTGTATTTTTAAAATTTATAAATTGTCTTTAAATTAAAATTTAAAATATCTTGACTGGAGGTTGCTCTAAATGAAAGTCAATGACTGGTACCTTCTGAGTAAGGTTCTACTCCCATTCAGAAGCAGGGAAGAAAACAAATGGTGGAACACTGGAATTTCAGAAATTTTGATAAGATAATGTGTGATAACTTAAGAGTTTTCTCTATGAGAAGACTTTTTCATGGATCTCAATAGTTTTTCTTGCTCCCTAAGTATGGCAACATGAGTCTTTCTATGGACATGACTGAAGGCCACCTTACCTTTGAAATCACATCCTGCATCTCACTTCTGGGATAAAATGTGCCATCGTCATAGCGGAATCGGTACAGTGTCTGCTCTGGCTTGAACTGATGCTTGTCGGTAACTAAGAACATGGAAATGTTACAGCAGAATAGTAGCAAGTTAAATCATTAAGTAAAAACAAGTTTACTGAATACATAATCACAATTTATAGAGCTTCTGATTTCCAACAATGTCAATCCAGTATTTTCAACAGTAAAATCAGTAAGGTTTTGTTCTTTACTACATTGAAACTTTCCATATAATAATCCAAATACTCAATTGGAGTTAATAATACTCAGGCCAGTGTTGTAGCACATGCCTACAATCCTACAACTAGGGAAGCTGAGGCAGGAGGATTGCTGAGTCCAAGGCCAACCTAACCTACTTAATGAGTTTGAGCCCAGCCTGGCCTACAAATTCAGCATGGCCTACAGAGCAAGGCATAAAATAAACTTCAGTTTAAAATTTGTAAAGAGTAGATACTTCGATAACAAGCAAGTTGTTTTTTTTATTCCCTCAACCCTAGAAGTGAATATTTGCTTATATCTATTTTATCATATGGTGATTGGGCCAAGATCACACAAACACCAATCCAAGACATGCTTCTTGTATTCAGACTTCCAGAGATTTCTGGATACCTTCAATATGTAACAGATTCCAAATTTTTAAGAGTTCTTACACTGATAGGCACTTATTTTTTTAAATGTCACCTGTTTCTTTTTCTTCTTCTTTCTCAAGGGAAAATAAAAATGGCTAGCTTCACTATCATTGACAGGCTAAAATTTTCATTTCCCAAAACTCATATAGGGAATGATGGTTTCTCTAGTGAACAATAAGAAATGCCTAAAGAATTAATGCAAGTCCTTCTCAAACTCTTCAAAAAATAAAAAATAAAGAAAAGAAAAAAATGAAAAGAAAGGATTAGTTCCAAACTCAGTTCATGAAGCCAGATAAGGATACCACAATGAAATAAAATCATAGTTTAATATCACTAATAAACAGAGCTGCAAAAGTCCTCAACAAAATGCTACAAAACTGGGAACAAGGATCCCTGGGAAGAGCTGTTTCTAAGAGGCTGACTGACTCTGTGATGTGGAGAGGTTGGAATGTTGCAGGTCCAGAGTCAAATTACAAGTTATCTTGAACTACTTCCGAGCCCTAATGAGCCACTTCTTGCCTGCCTCTGCATGGAACCAAACATCCTTTGACTAACTGATTAAAATCCTCTTGGAATGTGTAAACAGACTCCTAGTCACACTATTCAAAGAGTTAAAAGAGGGATCAGCTAGCATAAGCATTATAGCTTGGCCATAACCCACCTACCCAAGGTAACTTACCAAGGTTTTCTTTACACTGTTACCTCATCATAACATAGTATTTGGGGAAACCATTCCAGGCTACATTTACTCATATTTGGCTCCAGGATAAACTCTTATACCCTTTGAAGTGACAGCTGTGGGAGTTATTCCCACCCCCCTTTGTATGGACAGAAATAAATTCTCTATATAGAAAATATTTAAATTTTCTACTCTCCTTATTTGTTACAAGAAACACTGTTTTTCACTGCAGCTCTTCAGCTTCAACTGCCTAAGCAGCAAACTCATTGCGTTTAGTTGTATTTTTATTCCTCATAGGACTACATGTCCTGACCAGAGGAACTAGACAGGAAAAGAAAAAGAAGATATACAATTTGGAAAAAGAAAAATTTGTCTGTCTTCTATGCCCAAAGTGATTTAAAAAAAAATGAACAACTTATTTTACTAAATGTACAAATCAACACACAAGAACACAAAACCAGAAGACAAAAGCCAACAGCATTTCTGGATGCTGAAAATGAACTATTGAAAAAGACCTTAATCAAATTCATAATAGTATTAAAAATTATAAGACTGGGGAAGGAATTTGATCAAGGAGATAAATGTTCTGTATACTAGCATTATAAAACATTGGTGAAAAATTTTTAAGAAGACACAAATAAATGGAAATGTATTATGTTTTATGAACTAGAAGGATTAATATTATTTAAATGTCCATTATACCAGATATACAGATCAAATGCAATCCTTATCAAAATTCCACTGACATGTTTTACAGGAACAGAAAAAGTTAAACAAACAAAAGTAAGTAAACACTAAGATCTCTATGGAACAAAAAGACCCCATTTAATTAAGACAAATTTGCACAAAAGAACAACACTGGAAGCATAAATTATATATGATTTCAAAACAAACTACAAGAGCTATCATAATCAAAGTGTTGTACTAGCACAAAAACAGATATAACAGACCACCCCAAAAAAAACCTGTATATTTATAGTTGATTGATATTTGTTAAGCCTGCCAGGAATGCACTATTGGAAAACAGTCTCTCCAATAAATGGTACTGGGGAAACTGGACACACACATGTATAAGGGAGCCGGGCAGGGGTGGCGCAAGCCTTTAATCCCAGCACTCAGGAGGCAGAGGCAGGAGGATCTCTGTGAGTTTGAGGCTAACCTGGTCTACAGAGTGAGTGCCAGGACAGGCTCCAAAGCTACACAGAGAAACCTTATCTCAAAAATAATAATAATATTAAAAATGGAACTCTATAACAATCAACTCAAAATGAATTTAAAACTAAACCTAAGACCTGAAACTGGAAAATCACTAGAAGAAATAAATGGAGAAAAACTTCTTAAAGCTGTTCTGGCAATGAAATTTTTAGACAAGATCCTCAAACTTAACTATTTGAGGAATTCTTACATTTCAGACTTGAAAATAATTTTAATAAAAATGCATTTGGTATTTTCACTTCAAGAGCCTACTACTGGGCCAGGAAAAAAAAAATGGCTAATGGATAAAGACATTGGCTGGCAAAGCCAAACCCTGAGTTGTTTCCCTGGAACTCACTGGTAGAAGGAGAGAGCACTAATTGACAAAAGCTGTCACCTAGCTTACAAATTTGTGCCCCAAGGCATGCAGATACACAAACAACTAAATATGAAAACTCTCTTAAAAGAGACCCTGTTGCTGACTGAAGCGATACCTACAGCCAGGGAATGAACTGGCCAGGACTGGAGCATTCCCATTCTTTTCTTATCTTATTTGCCAATCCTTTAAAATTTTTTATTGTTTGACCATTTCAAATATGCATATACTTAGATCAAACTGACCCTATTTCCCCCCTTTTCCCCTTTCCACTTCCTCTTCAAACTCCATGTGCTCCCTGTTGCTGTTGTTGTATCGTAATCCCCCAAAATTCATTTAGTGCCACCTGATGTTCACAGATACAAGACCATCTTCTGGAGCAATTGTACGCCTCTCAGGGCTCAAATGCCTGAGGAAAACTTACTTTCCCTCCGCAAGCAGCCAGTGATTATCAATGGCTTCTTAGCAGGTGCTGGGACTTCAGGAGCCACTCACCCATCCATTCTGGGATTTGGGCTCCTGGAGGATAAACATACTCAGCAACCTCACGGGGCTGTGAATAATGTGAGTTTCATGGATGACAGGCCAGGGAAGACATGACCACTGGTACAATAGTGGCATGAACACTATAGAAGCAAATTCTTTTTGTTTTGTTGGTAGCACACTAACTCTGGAAGTACAAGTCTAAATGGGAAAGGAAAAGCCATTTCCAGGGGTTAACTGACTGACCACTATTTAATGCCACCTACTTAAGTTCAAGATAACACACAGAAATGATTGATATTACAGGAGATAAGAACTCTAATTACCCTGATTTGGTCACTACATATTGTAAACATCACTCAAATTGTCACACAATACCTCATAAATACATACAATTACTGTGTGTTGACTAAAATGTTTTATGAACTAAACATAACAATATAATACATATTCTTATTCCTAAATGTATATTTGAGATTGGGTTAGGAGATACAAAAACTAAACCCATCTATATCACTTCTCATTTCTACTTAAAGTTGTTATATGCTTTAAATATGGGTTGTTCCCCCAAAGACTCATTATTTGAATTCTTAATCCCCAGAGGGTAGCAATATTTTGGAAGGTTCTGGAAACTGGTGGGGTAAGGTAGAGTTCAAGGAAGCAGGTTACTGGAGGTGGATACTTGAGGGTTTATTATCCCTGACTATGTCCACTCTGCCTGGATCCCTGCTTCCTGAATGGCTATGAGACAAACAGCTCTCCTCTGCCTCATGTTCCATCACCAAAATGCTCTACTCAAATGCATGGGGCCAAATGACCATATGACCATGGGACTCAAAAAGCCAAAGTGAAACCTTATTTTACATTGCTTATGGTGGTTGTTTTGGTCACAGCAAAAATTAACTATTTCAGTGGTTACCCGGTACTTTCTATCACAGCAAATGCTAAATGCATGTATATGATGCTTTAGATAGTTATATTTATACTAACCTGAGTATAAAATGATATGCAATATGAAAGTGAAAGTATCAGCTATTTGCTTAAAGTATGTTAATTCTCTTATTCATTTAGCACGTGATTACTGAGAACCTAAACATGTTAGGCATGAAAAGAATATATATATGGCTCCTGTGCTAATGTTGCACATATTTTGAGTATCGTCCAGGATAGGGTAAGGGAGACAAAGTGATAACTAATAACCAAAGAAACAAAATAGCATTGTAATGCCAGACAGTGATAAGTGCATGGAAATGGCTCAGTTGGTCAAAACACTTTTTGCTCAAGTATGATGACCTGCAGATTGAAGCAACTCCAGAAAGTTATCCTCTGGCTGGCACACAGCACACATGTGCATGTATGCATACATACTTATTATACATTAAAAACTCAGGAAAGTTTCAAATTCCAAAATGTAATATGTTAAAATGGCAAACTGGATGGAAGGACTTCTAAAAGTCGGAGGGCCACAGAAAAGATAAGACATGAATGAAGGAAATTGTATTTTCCACAGTACTGTGTTTTTAGCACTTGGAAATGTGCCCCTCCAGCTTTTATGAGAAACTTATAAGCAATGGGACAAGTAAGAGTAATAAAGATCCTAAATAAGTGTTACCTTTGAGTATATAAAGATGTGGAAGACCAGGGTGGGCACAGTGTAGCTATCTGGTCAGGTTGGGTTGGCTAGTTGCCCGCATAGAATAGAAAAAAAATGTCCCACCATGCAGAGTACTGCAGGCCTTTGTGAGAGAGTTAGACCATAGAAAGAAATGTGGACTTAGGTTGATGAGAAGCCAGGAAAAGCAATAAAAACTGATGCATACCTTCATCTTACATCTGTTATAAAGGAACCTTAAGCAAAAGTGGAAACAAGGGAAGAAAGGATGGAGTTGAGGCGGTGAGGATCCTGGGAAGGAAAGAACTGTTTACTTAGAGTGGTGATGCGCAATCTGCTAGAGGGTGACACCAATCACAGAGGTAACACCCGGAGTGTTAGAGAAAATTCTCAAGAGATTGCTTTGTTTATGAACCACTGTGAATTAGGGAAGAAATGACAGTAAAAATTCCATAGTCAAATAGCCACAATATGAATGGCTCCTTGTCTTTTTCTCCCCTGCCCCACTTTTCACATTAGAGATTCTTCCAGCTTTGTCCTTAGTCTCATCACCACTCTCTCCTTGATTTTGGTGGTGTGAGCTCAAATGACCTCTTCCCGAGTGCCCTGTTGTAGCCTCACGTCTACTCCATCCCTAACTCTTCGCCGTCCAAGGCTCTCCTGAATTAACTGCCTTGGACATGCAGAGCACAAACTCAACAAAGTCCAGTCTCTCCACCCAAACACTGATTACATAAGCTCTTTCAGCTCTCCAGACTCTCAGGCAGGCCAACTCTCTTCATATCTGCGGACCCAGCTCCAAAGGAGCCTTGTTCTGTTACCCCTGGGTCAAACTCAGCCTTCTGGCAGGCCTGTGTGCTACAGCCTTTAACCTTCACAGCGTAGACTCTACAGTGCTGCAGTCAAGATCTGACCATGCCTTCATAAGATATGCATCAGCTCATGACCTTCAGTACATGCCAGGGGATCACCCTGCTGATGGTAGATGTCTTCCCACCACAAGCCCCTCTCTGGACTGATCCATGGAGCTCACAATGTGGCCACATGAGAGCCTATTGCAGTTCCTCAAGTGGCCACCACGAGAGTTTTTCCTATTCTGAGTGTTATCATTTCCTCAGAAGGGATGCCCCTTCTGTTATGTTAAGTTCTATTCATTTGCAATTCCCATCACTAATGCCACCACCCCCACGAAGCAGTCTCACACACTCTAGTCATAATTAGGCATCTCTCCTTCCACAATCTGGTACTTATTAGAATTCTGGCTTTTGCCTGTGCAGTGGCTGTTCATTCTAAAGAATGGCCACTGTATACCCTTAAACACAAGATACACTGTTCTTTACATATTGAAAGCACTAAAAGAAATAACCATGATAAGACATGGAAAATTATACACAAAACATGTATGTGGCACTCAAACACAGGCCATTTGTGAACACACAAAGAAAGTAAATTAATGAGATAATCACCATGGTGGATGATTCCATTCTCTAACAATGCTTGTCCCAGGTGAACACCTTCTTCGGGCCTGTGAATCTCCCCAATTTCCAGCAGCCATGACACAAATTCACTGCAAGAGAAAGACAATGGGAAACAAAAAGTCCATGTCTTCCCGGGAAGTCTGTCTGGCCCACATCTTGTGAAATATCTATGTAAGGAATCTTAAATATATAAAGCACCATTTTCAAGACATCCAACAGATTTTTCCCCACAGGCACAAAGCCCAACCACAGAAACCACAATCTATCCCAGAAACCCTATGTGCTGTGCCTCTCTGACACCACACTCACTAAACAACCATATGTGTGGATGCCCCTCTTTCCCAAAGATATCATTTAAATATAGATTTAATTAAAAGATGATGCCCCCCAAAAGCAAATAGCCATGAGTATCACTGAGATAAATATGCAATAAATACAGACATTTTGCAAACAAAATGTTCACATGTTTATGTTTAAAAACTCTAACACTTGATCATTTAAATACACTAATGAATGTGTTTCAGAATCATTTTTGTTATTTGCACTCAGGCCAGAGAACTGAAGCTATCGCCAACTCCAAACACATGATTTTCCATTGATCCCACAAATAACAAATATGTTATATCAAATAATCAAGGGACACAAAATTCTCCAAATAGGTTGTTTACTTCAATACATATTGAGGCAGGAAAGTGGGTAAGAGGCTTTCTATTATTTCATTAAGAATCATAAAAAGAAAGACAAAGCATAAGAGAAGGAATAAAAGAAACAAAATTATTTAAGACAATAAAAGAGAAAAGGGTTTAAGATTGTAAAATATCATTTACATGGACCCTGCAATGTAACATTCTAGATTCAAATCCTGTTTCTTCGTCCACTGGCTGTATGACCTCTCTCTCTCAACCTGGATGCTTTTATCAATAACACAGGGGTAATACTGGGAACATCAGTGTCTTCATGCTGCTACAGGATTGCTTGTGATGAGGTACATCAGCACAGAGCCTGAGACATAATGGGCTCTTACAAGGCCAGTGGGTTAAAATGGTTAATATGAAGCCAAAGCATGATTCTTCATTCTGATTTCCCCTACTTCATTAAATGCCAGACTTAGATGAGAAAAAGAGCTGATATAAGCACTGATGTCAAAGGGTGCTTTTTTTCCCCGTGGGAGAGAAGTCAGAAAGGAAATTCACAAGAAGCTTTATCAATGACGAAAAGATCACCCATGGCTATGTTGCACGCCAATAAAAGCTGCTGAGAAGCCAGAACTTACAGCGATTCTCTTGCAAGTAGACATATCATCATGGGGACCCTAAAGTTATACCCATGGAATTATCACAAGATAGGCCATCCTTTTGGTACATGATAGGTCTTCTATGTCATATCAGCATTCCTTCATACTAGCTCTCACCTTAAGTATATTGACAGAGCACAGGTGCAGATCCTTGATCATATCTTCAGACAACTGTGATCCACCCCCCAGCTGCCCATGAAGACATTCCCTCTTAATAAGAGAGCCAATTCTGGCCTTTATTGTTGTGGGATATTTATACACTGTATGAAGATGTATTGCTGTGATTGCTCTAATAAAAAGCTGAACAGCCAATGGCTAGGCAGGAGGTATAGGAGGGACTTCCGGGCAGAGAGAGAACTCTGAGACAAAGAAAGGTGGAGCTGCCAGCAAGACACAGAGAGGAAACAAGAGGTGCAAGATGGAAGATAGGTAACGCCATGTGGTCAAAAGTAGATTAATATAAATAGGTTAATTTAAGTTAGTTAATAAAAGTTAGTTGAGACAAGCCTAAGCTAAAGGCCAAGCTTTCATAATTAACAATAATTTCCTATGTCAGTATTTGAGGAATGGTGATTCAAAGAGAGTCCAAAAAGAAAGCTTACTATACTTCAGTCTGAAGTTTCCTTGTCTACACTTTAGATGTAACCATATGCTATCTCCTGATAGCTAGTTAGTGATATCCTGGTAGGCACAGATCCATCAACTCCATGGATCAAAGGGAAATAGAAACCTAACTGTCCCAAACCATTATACTAACCAATGGAGGTGTCAGGAGTTGAACAAAGACACTTGATAACAGTCTGATCTTCAATATAACTCCAGGGAATTCTTAGAGACTGACTTCGGCATTCTCTAATTATATGAAAGTGTCACTCTCCCTAATCCACAATTTTTGCTTCTTTAAATTAACTGCAGAAGCATTAAATCCCTGAGTATTGATGACTGAATTCAAAATTACTTAACAGAAAGAAATGAGACCAGAGCCTGGCCAAAAAAGACCAAGCTGAAGCAGCTACCCTTCTCATTCAGAGAACCTCATGTACCGAAATGACACCTAGTCTCTGGTTCCAGACCCCTCACCGGACAATCTATTAGACTCTATACCCTTTAGCTCTGACTCCAGCTGTATGAATTCTGACTAAGCAGAAGTTTAGATTGTCTTCTCTCAGCTCTCCAATATCCCTTCGCTTTATGGATTCATGCCAAGCTCTGAATCTCAGTCCTGTGCACTCCCACATCACGTCCATCATCTTGACCCCAGCAGGCACACTGCCTGCCTGGCTCTCCTTGCCTGACCACAACTCAAATTCCCCCTGACAACACAAACAATTGTGAAGGTCAAAGATGATAAATGGATGGTTCCGGGGACCTTCCATGACTCTGCATCTTTGTCCATTACCTCACGTGCCTACTGTCCAGAAAAATGCCGATTATGAGTAAGGATTCAAAAATGCTTAGGATAACACTTTTAAAACACAAATCATATAAAATAGATGATACAGTCAGGAGACCAAGCTTACCTTCCAAGGAAGCACTTAGGGAATGTAGTCAGTTTCCTTTTCCTGTCTTTGATCAGATTTCCCTGTTGACACATCATTTTATACAACTTCTCACCCTGCTCAGAGATCATTACCCAGGTGTCTTGCTCCATTCCTAATTTTAAGCCTATCAAAAAATGAAATAATAAACATCATGTTAACTAAAAGCTTTCCTCTATTCACCTACACCCTTATTAAGCAAGTCTTTATTGGTATAGCTAGCATCAGCTAGACTCAGGGGGGTTCTCAACCTTCCTAATGCTACAACCCTTTAATATAGCTCCTCATGTTGTGGTGACTCCCGATCATAAAATGGTTTTGTTATTACTTCATAACTGTAATTTTGTTACCGTTTCAAACTGTAATGCAATTTTATGATGGTCCTAGGTGACCTCTGTGAAATGTTCGACACCGCCCCCCCCAAAGGGTTGCAACTCATGGGTTGATAGCCACTGAGCTAGAAGCTGTGGGTTTGCGCTCCATATAACTGGGATCAGTTTTTAAGAAATCCATAGCATCCCAGTGAGACTGGCCAGGTTACATTCCCAGTGTGTGAGACACCCCTAGGAGGCTGTGCCCTAAGGGCATATGGTTTTGTAAGTGAAGGAGAGGCAGATGAGATCACCATAAGTATGCTTGAAATCCATCCTGGAGGGGAACCCAGTATTGGAGTATTGGAGGCTCATTCCACATATCTCACCTCTGTGTGAGAAATGCCACAAAAGTTTTCACAAGAAGACCACGTCTAAATGTAAAATTATGAATCCTTATTTCTAAGAAAGAATTTTTTACAAGAGCCACTAAAGCTGAGCAATCCAAGGCTCTGGAGGTTTAGATGAGAGTACAGGTGCTCTGGTGGATTTGGCAGTGTCCTGGTAGAGTTAAATCACTTAGGTCCTTATGTACTGTGGAAAAAGCAATGTTTTATGAGCCAGTGAAAAAGGCAGGTACTTAAGGGAAAGAAAGTTCTGTCACTTTGTATGTAGCTTAGAGGACGAAGACAGGGTATAAAGCACAGCAGTGGCTATTTCCAGCTAAGAAGGATAGGGGAAATCCGATGCCTTCCAGGTTTCAAAAGAGAAGGGGAAGTGAGGATGCTTTTCAGGCAAACTTCCAAGTAGAAGGAAGTCCACCGGAATACTGACAGCCTCAAAGGTCAAGGGAAGTGTGAGGGTCAGCACAGCGAGTGAGTAGGAAGCCCAGGAGGGAAAACAAAGCCAGGCACAAACAAGTACCCAAGTAAAGGAGTACAGGTCTCATTAATGAAAATGGATAAGCCGCATATAGTTAAAGGAAGCCAGAGTCAAAGCTAAAATCCTGGGACCGTTCACAGTCAGTGGATGGGGCAGGGGAAAATGCTGCAGAAGAAGAAATGTTTGAATTGCATTTTAGTCTTCAAAGCCACATAATTTTATACCCAAATTATGTTTTTTACAATGTAAAAACCATTAACATTTATCAGTAAAATGAATAATTAGGTAAGAATATAATCTGATAAAGACAAGAATCATTAGAAGTTTTATAGAATATAGATTTTTTTCAATTTTTTAATCTTGGGCAGATCATAGCCACTTGGGGTGAGGAGAGGTCAACCTGAGGACAAATTCTGTTTGCCTTTTAACTAAATTACTCTCACAAAGAACAATAACCCCCACTTTCTGCACCCACCTTTCCGACGTTCTCTTTCTTTCAAAATAGCTTCAAACCATTCGTGCTTTTCTTCAGGGCTTTTTGCCATGCATACAAACCATTTATTTTTTGCTGTGTTATGTATCTTCCACCCATTGACAACAATGTGCCCACTGCTGTGAAAATCAGCTGAGAAAAAGTGAAGACCAATTTGAATTACATCAGCATGACCATCCAATTCATGAAAGCACCAAAACCAGGAAATTAAAAATATAGCATGGAAATATGCATGGATACTCATATACTCATATAAAAATAAGGAAATATTTACATGTTTGATATAGTTATGCTCACTAATAAGATACATCTAACTCACAGTGCTGATATATTACATGTAATTAAATACTACAAATTAACATTCATTTAAACTATGTCCAAATATACTGGTAAACTTTTCATTAATGCCAAACCGACCCATTATCTTCTGTTAAGTGACTGATTCCCAAAATGTATTCTCATCCTGGTCACAGGATGAATCAGTCAAATTAGATCAGAAATTATTCTGTGTTTTAGATATGCACAGTAAAACTACACAGAGCAATTTTTGAACATACAGAATCACAATATTTTGAGGGTTTTATTCTATTTGTTTGATTTTCAAAACTTGGTTTCTCTGTGTAACAGTCCTAGTTGTCCCAGAACTCACTCTATAGACCAAGCTAGCCTTGAACTCACAGAGATCCACCTGCTTCTGCCTGCTGATTGCTGGGATTAAAGGTGTGTGCCACTTCTATTGAGCTCAGAATCTCAAAATTTTAAAAGGAGCTTTTGGGTTCTCATTTCTATATACTTAGGTTCATATTCACTTAAGAAATAGCAAAGCCTCACTATCCATGGAAGATTATGGATTAAGTAGCTTTCAAGAGATTATATAAATTACTTCATAATTACTCTACACTTTTTACTGTGAATTTTTAATGGACTAGTGAAAATAAAACCAAAGAAAATTTTTCTATTAAAAATATTTGTAACTCCTCCTCAATATTTGTCACCTGACCAGGTCCTTACACATTCGAATCTTGCTCTGTTGCTAGAACGATCCCAGGTTCCCAACTGCATTATCTCCCCTATTATCACACTCCAGAGAAAGAAGTCTACAATAGGCATGCTCAGTCTACATGAGAACCACTGGGCCTACTTTAAAATGAGTACAGCATAGGCTTCTCACAGCCAATACTAAAATCAGCTAATACTATCTGTTTATAAAGCCTGAAAGAATCAATCTGCCCAAATAACACAACAACTGCTGCACAAATAGCATTTACAAAATCAGATTGTACCAAAGGATTTTAAAGAAATTAGTTTGTGTTGACACGCAAGCACACACATCATGGATATATGAGTGCCTTGCTAAAACCAGAAGAGGAAGATGGGTAGATCCCCTGGAGCTGGACTTAACACAGTTATAGCTGGAGTCACAGTTACAACATGGGTATCTACACTCATCAATTAACTCTTACAAAACTACTGATAACTATGTGCACTTGGCGATGATGAAAGAAAAAAGATGACTGACGTTAATATTTCTATTTAAATGAAAAAAGATGCATAACCATCTCTCCGGGCCCATGTCATATGATTTTAAATGGAAGAATAATGACAGTCCATTTAAAGGTCAGATGACAATTGTTTGCATCATGCTTTTAAAATATCATTTGTAATTTTAAACTTATATGTAGGCCTTACATATATGCATTTATGGAGCCTCAAGATTGAGTACATGTATATCATAATATAATTAGCATATATTTTACAAAATAAGCAATTTCTTCTCATTTGCTTTCAAATATGATGCTATTAAGTAGCTATATAACCACTGCACATTGTTCAAAAATATTCACATTAAGAAACTTATCCATGAAGATCATTCTCACTAAGACCAAGGAAAGGTCAATGATGCTTACTCTTTAGTGAGTTTTGTTTGGTTTTGATTTGTTCTGTTGCTAGGGATCCAAACTAAGGCCTCTCCAATGCTAAGTATGCACTCTGTCACTGAGATACACCCCAAGGCTCTTTGTCCTATTTAATATTTAAAAAATATCTTCAAATGAAGTAACAAGTAGGTGATTAACACAGAATTTAATAAGCTTCAATGAACCTAAAATATTAATTTTATAGAAGATGTACAAAAGAGAATGGAATTTAAATTCCCACTCATTAAAAGTGGAATGTTCAAGTTCAAAAATCCAATGTATCTGATTTCTTATAAAACCAGAAATGTTCAAAGGTCAGACCGAAACAAGTCATTAATGAATCTGAAGCCATGTGGTATGAGAATTCCTTCCATTAATTCAGTACATTTCCACTGAAGGAGATGGAGTTCTTCCCAACTGACCTGTAATAAACCCTAGTGAACACAGTAATAGCCACTTAATACCATTGCATTTCAGTAAGATAGACAATATCTAAGTGCTGTATACACAAGCTATGAAATGAGGGAATTGCCAAAATGTTTGTTCAAACATCTAATATTAATTATCTACATAATGCATTCATCCCTCACTCTGATAATCAACAATGAATGTATCAGTTCTAAGGAAAAAATTAAAATTACAACCCATTCGTGTGAATGTTTAACACGAAGAAAATTATTTTTGAAACAAATCTTGCATTCTGTCAAATAATACAAGAAAGAATTCTGACATCTAACACAACACAGAATATTACTTAGGACAAAAGTGAAAAAAAATACTCAAATATCCCTTAAACCTATAAAAAGTTGCTCATCTCTTCGCTGTTTTTGAATGCTCAAATTTCCTTAAATAACATAAAAATTTGAAGTGTATCAGAAAATATTACACATTTGCACTCTAGTTGACATAGTTAATTTGTTAAGTTTTCATTAGGAATGTATTCAGGGCCACTGAGAATATTCAGAAGGCAAAAAGTGTTTACTACACACGTCTGACTGCCTGACTTCCTGAGTTCAAGCTCCAAAACTGAAAGAAGAGAAGAGCTCACTTCTGAAGGTTACTCTCTGAACTCCACATGTATGCCCTACTCACAAATATATCATACACATGGTATAATAATAATAATAATTACTACTAATTATTATTATAGAATGCATTCTATCTAGCATGTTACAATATTACTTTTGATAAGGTATCTATCTATGCTCATTTATTCTATTAACTCTTACACAATTACTGAAAACTATGTGCACTTGGTGACAAGTAAAGGAAAAAAAGATGACTAAGGTTAATGCTTCTATTTAAATGAAAAAGATGCATAATTATAAGAGCTTTTATTTTTAAGCATTTTTTAAAAAACACATGAAAGAAAATAAAACATTACAGCAATTATTCAATACCTTAAGCTGGTTCTAAATATTTATGTAGAAATCATGGTTGCAAAAATCTATCTTAAAAGGATTGAACTTAAAAAAAATATCTGAGGCAAAACAGAGCAGTAATGCAATGCTTTCCCAGCCTGCATTGGGGAACTAGGTGTGACACCCACCACAATATAAGCAAAACAAAACAAATGGGAAAACTATCATAAGAATAAAAATTTCCAGTCTTGTCAAATTCAAATTTGACCACTTTATTAAGTGGTCAAATTTATTTGTCAAATCTCTCTTGCTCTCTTTCTTTCCCCTTACCTAGTTTTGGTCACTTTATTGCCCAATAAACTAGATCCACACTTTTACAAAGTTAACAGCCTTCCTTTATTGTTTCTGTCATTTATTTCTTTGTTATGTAAAGTCTAGGGTGTCTTGTATATAGAATCTTTAGGGTCTCTTTACTCATAGGGTTACAACATGTGCAACAGGAATAAACTGACTTCTTCCTTTCTTATCTGTATCTTCTCTGAATTCTTCCATTTCCTATTTACTTAGCAAAGACTTTGAGCACCATATTGAATATGAGTAGAAAGAATTGGAACTCTTGTCTCCAATATTTTAGAAGGGATTGTCTCAGCTTTTCCCCATGTATTATAACATTAGCTACAGGTCTGTCATGTCATGTCTACGTAGTATTTGTCATATTGAGTCCTGTTGCTTCTATTTCCAGTTTTCTCAGGGTTTTTATCATGAAGAGATGCTAAACCTTGTTAAGCACTTTCTCTTCATCAATGGAGGCAGCCTTATGATTTCTGACCTTGAATCTATTTATGTTCTTTACTATACTTATTAATTTGCATATGTTACACTCACTCTGCATCCTTCTGATGAGCCCTGCTTGGTATTGTTGTTGAATTCAGTTCTCCAGAATTTTATTGAAAGTTTCATATCTATGTTTGTCAGAAAAATTAATCTGTAGTTCTCTCTCTCTCTTTCTCTCTTTCTCTTTCTTTCCCCTTACCTGGTTTTGGTATGAGGAAAACTTTTAGCAGCTACTAATCTATTTTAAGTACTCTTATAGTTTTTCCTAACATAAGTTTGAAATTATAATGAGAAAAATGTGATTCAGTTTAAAACCCTTCACTGTAAAAATACAGCCTTTTTTCAAATCGTGTAAGTAAAAAATATTTTAACTTTGTTTTAGTTAATAGCTGTGACTAATCATATTTTCATGAGCATGTTCATAAAGGCCAAATTTTCAAATACTTTACTGCCATTTAGTAATAAGGAGCCTTAATTCAGCACTTGGAATCCAGAGATGACAGTTTCCCGCTGTGAGTCAAATGACAATAGAGCCACATGTAACCACTGTGTGCCTAAAGCGCACCTACCATAATTTATATTTTATGGTGAAAATGTCATAGAACCAAATTACTATGTAGATAAAACATTACTTATATAAAGAGAATCAATTCATTCATGAGACATTTCTCCACATATATTTTACATTCCCAAATATAAATTTGCTAATATCCTGTGGTATTAAAGCAAAGTAGACATACTCAGAGCACAGCAGAAATAGTTTACAAGAGTTTTTCTTTTAAAATGGTATTTGTAGGGCAATACCATTTACAAGCTAAACAAGGATCCTGCTGGACTGCATCTCACCTATCTCCATCCTCAACCCGCT